GTATGGCTTGAGAGATTAAGTATAGAATTTCCAATTTAATGCTGTGAGTGTGTCTTAAATCTGTGTAACTGGCTTTATTCGGGGAATTGAGACCTATTTCATTTCTCAAAGAATCATGGTCTTGCTACCAATACCCTTTAAGTTAGATCACTAGCGTTTGTGTTGTTGTCTGAGGCTAAATAACAAATGAAAAAAACACATGTTAAAAATATAATATACTAGAAATATATTTTCACTCGGGTGACACAAAGGCCATCAGTGGTAGAAATGAACTGCTAAGTTCTTTGCAATTCCCCAAGTATAGATTTAATGTAAAACACATGCATCTCTTGAAAAAATTTCTTTGCTAATAGGAATTATTCTTCCCAAATACCCTTCCATCAGAAAGAAAGGTGATATTACATCAATAAGCAATACTGGAAAGAAAATCAAAGCTCAAAAAAGATTTGGCAATGATAGTGAAGTTTTAATTTACTAATGTAGTGGTTTGAAAGATCTGTGCTAACCAATAAATCCAAGTGAACAATGACTAGGAAAAGTCATACACACGGAAGCTTTAGTAAAAGTTAATATTTTTTTAAATTGAGAATAATTTATTTTAGTAATGTTAGTTTACATTGTTTTATTTGTTTTAGAGATTGTAGGTTCAAACCTTTGTAAATGAATATTTTCACACCATGCCCAACACCCTATCCCCAACAGCACCCACGATAGCTCCAGCGCGTACACTTTCTCCCCTGCATCCCAGCCTGCCACCCTCCTTTTCTGATTACCTCAGTTTTGCAGTCAGATGTCAAGGATTTGTAATGGGTTTGGTTTGTCACACCCTTTGCTTTGTTTCTCTATATTCCACATGTAAAGGACACCATCCAGAATTTGTGTTTCCCCTTCAAACTTATTTCCCTTAGCATAATGCTGTCCCGTTCCTCCATGCTGTGGCAAATGTCAAAGGTTCATCTTTTTCATAGCTGAGTAGTATTCCATCGTGCATATAAACCATATTTTTCTTATCTACTCTTCTGCCCTTGAACACTTAAATTGTTTCCGTGACTTGGTTATTGAAAATTGAGCTGCAATGAATACAGGAGTATATATATATCACAATATAGGGAGAGTCTATAGAGGGTAAATTGTATATTTCCTGAAGTGTGCATACTTGTAGATAAAACCTTTATCTGAACAGGCAACAGAGTGTCTTACCAGACCAGACACTGAGAATGTAATTATGATACCGAATTTCTTTTTAATAAAGCAACAGAAACTCAAAAATGACTATTGATCCTTTGCCCTCTCAATTTTAAAGCAAATAGTCAGCGTTATCCACCTTTTTACTGACTCATCCAGAGTGCCTGGTGATTCAGACTTTACCCTGTAATTACAAAAGAAGTGGACTCTTATCTGGCGGAGGCAGGTGATTGGGAAGCAGAAGTGGCTGATATTTTTAGTCACATCAAAAACAGAGTTTAGAACTTCACTTTTCGCAGAAGCTGGGTCATGACTATGATTATAAGTGGCTTCCTGGGGACTGAGGCTTGGGATCCTGGTTCAGTGTGATGCCATAGAAACAGTCCGTGGCGCTTGTGTTCTGAGCTACCTGTGTACACTTTATTTACAAGAGGCCCTGCCCATTCTTAGGGTTGCCACACAATCAAACGAGCTATTAACAATGACCATTCCTAGCTTCTTGGGAGTGTGAGTATGATATGACCCTAGTATTTGTTCTCTGGAGTTCCTGAAATCTCTTTGAACCCTTGCAACTCTTTACAGTTACTATTTCCATTGTATAGATGAGGAAACAGAGGCTTAGAGAAGACAGATGCCCCAGATCACACACTACTAACCAACAGAGCTGGGATGAAAATTCAGATCTGATTCAAAAACATTCCAGAACAATTAGATATGTGCTTTTTCAATTTCCCTAAAAGAGTTACCTGCTCCTTTCAGTAGCTTGTGTTCCAGCTGGCAACTCCAGGCCCTGTTTGAATAATTAGACGTCAATTCTTAGTTAGGAAGCAAGCCTTAATTATCACTGGGGGACAGAAGTCTGGATCTTCCAGGAATCTGGCAGACCCCAGCAGGAGGCAACCACAGATCTTTGGCAAAAGATCACTTTTCAACAACATCGTCAATTTCGGAGACCCCTGACCTTCCACCTGCAGGTCCCTCAACAGCTGCACTTCTGTGGGAAGCAGGGGGTGGGGCAGTCTGTCTTCCTTCAAAAGGCAACTGCATACCTTCTACCCCTGCTGAGATCCCACCTGGGAGTTCATCCCCAGAGCAGGGGGTCATCTCCCACATGGAGAAATTAAGGGGAGAAAATAGTGGGGGAGGACAGTTTTGACAACAGACCTAACTCTCCCTTTTAATATAAGCCAGATTTAACATATGTCATTCTGTAAATCTGAGGGTCCAATTGGAGGCTTGTAATTTGCAGCAACCTTCCCTGTTCCTCAATGTGAAGTGGAGCTTTGCCAAGCACATCAAGGTAACCGGTGGAAGATATAATTTGCCCACTGTAAGTCTGCCTTTGGGTTCCCTATTGTAATTTTTATTTGTGTTGAGGTTTTGTGGTTTTACAAAGTCAACTACATTTATTTTAAAATTAAGGTGAACCAACATCAAAGGCAGTCAGAAGAAGATGCTTAGGTATTACAAAGAAATGCTGCATCATCTTTTCTAGCCATATTCTTTATCAGGGCACGTATCAATAAGTGGTTAGGGGACCTTTTATGACCAACTGCTACATTTCTCTGACCTTAAACTACCCCCATGGGTGAAAATCCCTTTTCAGTGAGATTTGGAAGGCCCTCTTTCCTTCTCCTCAGCCTCTTTATCTAATCCTGTTTGTAACAAGATATGCTGCATGAAGAATAAAAAACATGAGCTTAAGCTTTTTCTCAGCTCCTGAGCTACATGAGACTGAATCTGCATGTCTTCCCTTTTAGAGACAAAGAACCCTTCAATCCAAAACAAGAACATTTAGTTCATAAGTCAGTTATTTGATAAGAAGAGGAAAATGCATATTAAAAGTTCATTCTTAGAAAGAATCTCAGAGCTACCTGAAGAACTTGTTTTTTAATGCTACAATATATTTTCCAGTCCAGACGCTTATATCAAACATGCTTACCTATTGACCCCTGTAGGAAACTGCTCAGTTCTAAGCATTTTTAAGTGATAAGTAGAAAGAGAAAGGGAAAAGTAGGTAGAGAGAGACAGATTAGTTGGATACATAGATACATCAATTTGTTCCTCAGAACAACTTTTTAGAAAAGTGGATTTATAGAGGAACAAATTGAGCTGTACCTGCTTTTTCTATTCTATGGATCTGTCTTTTAAAAAAAGTTCACTTGTGCTTCTGATCACAACTTGTACAAACTTATAAACAGTGTCTTCTGTTATATCAGCCTTGGTGCTATTACACTTCCAATTAATCACCGTGGTCATCAGGCTGCCTTTCTCTACCAAATATCACTTTCAATTATCAAAAGAGAAGCCTGAAAAATCCACTGGCAGAAAAGAATTTATTATAACAAGCAACATGTGCACAGAAATCCCTGTGTTCAAATTTGTGTCGCAGGAACTTGGAGTTCATCCCATGGGAAGTAGGCCCCGGAAACCAGTGGACACAGTTAAGTCTTCTGAAGTCACTGGGCTCCTAGTGACTATTTGTCTAGTTTTCTGGTATAAATGATGACCTTCATCCATCATTATCCACAATATTTCACTGATGGGATCCTCTCCAAAACAACGACTGGTTATCAGATTTCTCAACCAACATCGATGGTTGAGACTTGCTATAAAGTTGTGCTTCATATTGGAAGCAATGTAAGATATAAAAAGCATTCCTCATTTTACATTGCTTCTATTTTATTAACGCAGATGGACTTTGGCTAGTTTTGTTAATCTGAGGAAGTTATTTAACTTAACAAAGTTTCATTCTTTTCAGTTGTAAAATGGGAATGATAAATTTCCTAGAATAGCCAAGATAATGAGCTGAATTAATGCATAGAAAAACAACTATCATAAGACCTGACAGATGGTCAATAGTATTTTTTAAAAAATATTAAGCAATTTCTGTTTGCTTAATAACTTATGTCCAAGGGAAGGTTCAAGTTCATATAGTCTATTGGGGAGGTAAAATATAAACAAGAGAATTGTGCTAGCCTGAGATGGTGGCATCTGATGGTGGAGGGAGTTAGGTAAGACTTCAAAGAGAAAGAGACATATTTTATGGGGTCTAATGAGCCACTGGGATCTCTGCAATAGATTAACATAGGCTTTGGAATTGATCTGTTCCTAAACAAAGGACCCACTTCCTTGTGATTAACAAAAATTATGCCCTGCACTTACATTGATTTGTCTATAAAATGAGGTTTATTGGTGAACATGGATATTGCAAAAAGTAGACTTAGTTATAATTCTAGCAAATCTAATTAAATTTCTGATGTCCAAAACAAAAGGTTAGGAATGAGACAAACTCATAAAAACATAGTAGTCAATAAAATGCTCTAATAAATTCAAAAAACATATGTTGGAGGTGTGACCATACCCCATGAAAGTATCATTCCTCATAGCACATTTGTGACTATACTTAATAGCTTAATTAGCAATAACATTTTATTGAGTTTAACACAATGATGAATATATTCCCATATACATTACCGAGTTTAATCTGTAAATTTATACCATAACCATGGTTACCTTGTTATGTTTTTGCACATTTTACTTAATGAACCAAAATGAGCTTGCATGAATTACAATTTTAAATACAAGTCCTGGTTTTATAAATTTGGATCCATACACCTTCAGAGATGTGTGCTGTTGGGATGATAAAAACTTCAAGTCTTATTAGCACAAGGAAAAAATCCTAGGAGAGAGATCTGTTAGCACTGTCTAAATAATCTTTTCTAAATGATCATTTCACAGCCTTTAACTTGAGCTATTTCTCTAAATGACTAAGTGAAACTGTATAATAAACATACCTCTTTGGATATTTTCAGAACTCCCAGTTATAACTATGCACCAAATATGGATAAACACTGGATTATGCAGTATACTGGCCCCATGTTGCCCATTCATATGGAATTTACAAATGTTCTACACCGCAAAAGGCTTCAGACTTTGATGTCAGTGGATGATTCTGTGGAAAGGGTAAGGACATGAATTTGCCTCATTGATAGGTTTTGCTGCATCTTTCCTTGTGTAGGCTTATTCCTGCCAGTCTCGTGTTTGTTTGTTGTTTATTTTGAAAGTAAGAGTTCATTGACTCTTTCATCCTGTCATCCCTTTTCTCTACCTCTCCGAGCTTGGTTCTTATGGATTCTGTGACAAAGAGAAGATTAAAAAAATCAAGCATTATAAGTCAAAGACTGCACTTTCAGGGATTAAAGAAATAATGAAATAACTAAAACAGGTCCAGGATAAAGCAATAAGGAATGGTGAGAACCAGAGTGAAGTTGAAATTAAGTAACATAGATAAAGCAAGTATCAACTACTCAGTCACAGCTAATATTTGCCACATGGAAACATGGTCCAATCTTCTCACTTTTTAAATGAAACTAGAAATACAAACATTTTATTTGATATTTCCTGAATTTTAAAATATAAGCCAAAAAGAGACCTGTCTAAATGTTGGCTCTACCTGGACCAGGTTCAGAGGCAGCCTGTTTTTTTTTTTTTTTTGGTTTGTGTGTATATGTGTGTGTGTTTACTCAAAATATTCTTTTTAAAAAATATATAATAGTTTATTTTTACATCATTTTGTACAATTTTTTTTTCATCTCAATTGTAATCCCCGCGGGTTTCCCATCACCAAGACACCCATGTGCTATCACCACAATCCAGTGCATTTCCCTCCCCCCACTGTTTCTGATCCCATTCCCCACCCCACCCCCATAAAATGTCTCTGGTATATGACTGTTCATTATTATTATTATTTTCTCGCCTGGTCCATTAGACACTTGCTGTGAGTGAAACCATCTAGTATTTTCCTTTTCTTCCTGGCTTATTTCACTAAGCATGATCTTTTCCAGCTCCAGCCATGTTGCTGCAAAAGGCATGTGTTTATTTTTTTTGGTTGCTGAGTAATATTCCATTGTATATATGTACCACATCTTTTTAATCCAGTCATCTACTTTTGGGCATTTGGGCTGCTTCCATGTTTTTCCAATTGTAAATAAAGCAGCAATAAACATGGCGGTGTAGGTGTCTTTTTGATTCCGTGTTTTTTATGTCTTTCGGGTAGATACCTAGGAGTGGGATTGCTGGGTCTTATGGAAGCTCCATGTTAAGCAGTTTGAGGAACCTCCAATTTTCCATAGTGGTTATACTAGTTTGCATTTTTCTCCACATCCTCGCCAACACTTGTTGTTGCTAGTTGTTTTAAGGTGGAGGCAGCCTGTTTTTAACACTAGAAAACTAAATATGCATGATGGTTTTAAAATGAATTTTCAAAATAAAACATGCAAGTTTGGTTTAAAGGTTATTTTTATACCTTTTTTTCCCCCCCTAAGTAGATGAACAAAAACTTTTGGTAGAATGTGCCAGATTCAAAGGAGTTGTGTTTCAACTATATTATTGAACCTTTTCTTCTAGGAGTATAAGCAACAAGAGAATGTGCACCATGTTTGTCTCTTATTAAAGTAATGCTTGCCTTTTAAGAATAATGAATAAAAGGTCTGGAGAGATGAGGACAATACTTTTGTCCTATTCTGCCATCACAATTGCTTCTGACTTGACTTTGTGCTGTTTCAGCTCTATAATATGCTGGTGGAAACAGGAGAGCTGGAGAACACGTACATCATTTACACTGCCGACCACGGTTACCATATTGGGCAGTTTGGACTGGTCAAGGGGAAATCCATGCCATATGACTTTGATATCCGAGTGCCTTTCTTTATTCGTGGCCCAAGTGTAGAACCAGGATCAGTGTATGTATTTCTCTGTTTGTACATTCCACTGTCGTAGTTCATGTACATCTGATATAATTCGATTACCAATCTCAGTGTCTGGTTTCCTTTCAGCCAAAACAAAAAAGAGTGTATGTTGGGTGGTCATTTAGAAGATGAAAACCCACCCGACCCCCACCCCCTGCCTGCCTCATGTTAAATTAACCAAAGTCTACTATTTAAAGAGAAGGAAAATTAACACGATCGGTGGCTCATTCTCTCAAATTAACCAGGACCCATGGCACATGGTGTGTGTGTCATAGTCACTCACAGAATGTGACTTCAGGTGCACCATCCCCACCTTCTGTGAATTAGAGCTACACTGTCTTTTAAGGGAAAAGCAACCAATGCTATGCTCTCAATTGTATTTTTTTAAATTTTTGCTGAAGAATTTTTAGAGAAAATTAAATTTAAGAAATGCATGCTTTTCTGAATAAAGTAAAGAGGCCAAAGGGCCCAAAGTCACTGTGTCCTTTCGTGGCTCAATCTCATCGTAAAATGGGTTTCATATGCCCTGCCAGTCACCACAGAATGATCTGCATAAAATGAAATCATGTTCATGAAACATTTGCAAGATGAAAGCACAAAATGAGTGGAAGTAGAATTCAAAGCTGCAATATCCCTTAGAAAGCATCAAGCCTGGACAGCTGACATAATACTATGAAGACTAGACTGACAGAGTCAGAGCCTCTCAGGATCCCTGATCCCAGCAGTGGCCTAGAACAAAAGTGGGCTGACCTCATCTGCTGCGGCGTATACTGCAACTGAGGGATGATGGGGAGTTCTTTGAAGGTTTCTTTAAAAAATATTGCCTCTAAAGACCCTTGAAAACAACTATCTTTCAAACACTTCAGAATAGGGCCCTCTCTGTTGATGCAGTGGGTTAAAGCTCAGCATTATGAAGCTATCTGCCACTACAGCATGAGTTTGATCCCCACCATGGAGGTGAGCCACATGGCACAGCAGATCTCTCCCACCCACTGCTCCCCTCAGCAGTGTATTTCAGTACATCTGCCTGTTCTGCTCCGTACTCTGTCTCTGATGAATTCCCTCACCCCCAGCACCTCTGGCCTGTACCCCAGTTCTTGCATGCATAAATAAATAAATCTTAAAAAAAAAAGCACTTCAGAATAGGAAGTGTCATATCTAGACTTGATTTTATGTTTGAAAGACTAAGTAGCATAGATTAGATTCTACTCTAAAAACCTCGTGCCCATTTTGAGAAGATTGATTCTTCTCAAACTTCACTTGACCAGAAAAGTAATGGATTATCAGGTTTTAGAAAAATATCTACATCTACACAACCCATTCATCAGGTTATGAGGCATCTGAAAGTACAGCCGGCACTCAAGGACCTGGCCTTTCTCTAGTCCGAGCCCTGTGAGCATCTGTAACCCGGCTCTGTGCTGTTGCTGCTGACATCAGCCATCCTGACATGAGGCAGCTGCTGCCCCTAGGAGACCAGATAAGAAGGCAGAGAAGCCTGAATCGTTGAGTCATGGTGTGGAGAAAGCAGCCCTAGGCCATATTTGCCTTCACACTGGTTTTGGGGCCTAACTGTTCATCCTTTTGCAGAGTGCCACAAATTGTTCTTAACATTGATCTGGCTCCTACCATCCTGGATATCGCTGGGCTCGACACACCTCCTGATGTGGATGGCAAATCTGTCCTCAAACTTCTGGACCTGGAAAAGCCAGGTAACAGGTGTGTCCATTTTCTTTCCCTTGGCCAGACCCAAGCACACTGGTACCCAGAGCAAGCCAGCAGCTAAAAGAACTGAAGGCAAAATTTGTTTTGCCCTTGAGGAACACACTGAGCTGAAAATTTCTCAGCTCTTTGTGAACAGCATATTGATGTCAATGCAGTCATGGTCTGCGGGAAGGGAGAGGTGTTTCTTTAAATAAACTCTTAGCACAAGTCCATTTGGAAAAACATCTAGATGCCAACAGTAAATATTATTATTTTGATTTCAGGTTTCGAACAAACAAGAAGGCCAAAATTTGGCGTGATACATTCCTCGTGGAAAGAGGGTAATTATTGGTTCCTGGGGTGCTTCTGGGAATAAATCCTAGTGGGCAGCTCTCCCTGAGGGGTGTTTTCTTCCACTTTTTTTTTTTTTTTTTTTGGTTTACTAAGCATGCATATTTCATAAACCTAGTCACAAGATTGAACAGTTTGCTTCTTCTTCTCTGCTGACCAGCAGAGTAATGGCTATTGCATCAGAGCTGTAAAGCACAAGTTACGAGACCATTGCCCTAACGTGGGGATGGATTTTCTGTTGCATGTTCAGTCTTGGTTCAGTTAACTGACTTTGTCAACTCTCCTTCCCAAATCCTCCTGGCACCCCTCCTTTCTACTTCTCCTTTTGTGCCTTCCCTAGTTTAAAGTAGACAAATACGTGAGATTGTAATTTCTGCTATGACTCTGGGTTTCCCCTTTTGATGTATAATGCTCATTGTCTTGTTATTCCCCAAACATATTTTAGGTGGGAAAAAAAATGTCTAATTATTTTTTAACAAACAGAACTTTGAGTCTATAAAACTAAACATTTTAGCCCAAAGTTTTGAACTTTATAGTTTTGGGGAAAATGAATCTTCCTGTTCTGTTCTCTCATTTTCATAGCTCCTACTATTCCCAGGGGACTCAAAAATGTTGATCTGTGGACAGAGCCTAACCATCTTTTCTTGCTGGTGTGAGAATGTGAAGTTATATAACTGACTGTGACAAGAAAGAGAGCAGGCAAGACTTGGGATAGGTGATTCAGATCACTTCTGACATTAAAAAAAAACCTTTTTCCCTTTCTAAGGAAATTTCTACGAAAGAAGGAAGAATCCAACAAGAATATCCAACAGTCAAATCATTTACCCAAATATGAGAGGGTCAAAGAACTGTGCCAGCAGGCCAGGTACCAGACAGCCTGTGAGCAACCTGGGCAGGTACGTTTCCTTCACCACCTCTCACATGCTTCTCAACTTCCAATTTAAAAGATTTAAATGTATGAGATAATGTACGCTCGTGTATAAAAACCTTGTAGTGGTCATGGAATGCTCAGTCTGACCTCTCCCCTCACTGAGAATTGTCTGCCTGGTCTGCGCTGGACCTCTTAATTACTGCTTGGGCTTCTTCTGGTTCAAAAAAAATGGTGTTGGCTCAGAGAGGATTCTAAGTATCAACCTAATTAGCCAATACCAATTCAAGACAGCAGATACAAGAAATGGATAGCTAAGTTAGAAACATAAGAGATGGGTGCCATATGAGGAGTCACCATCCCTGGGGCTTCTGTAAAATGATAATCAAGAAGAGGCCAGTGTTAAGACGCTACTTAATCAATCTCATGGCTCAATGCTGGGCCTCTAGGCAGTGAGCCACCTAAAAGCCATGATGGGATCTTCCCGTCCTGGACTAATTCAGATGTCATCCAACTCAGATAATAGGATGGAATCTATGTCCAAGGGGAAACCATATTCTTGTTTTATTATTTTTTCTACTCCTCATAGAATTTCTGACATCAAATATTTTATTAGAATGAATCCTCTTCATTAATCCTTATATTACTGTAACATTCAGGATGACAACATTGTCAACTCTCTCAACTAGAACTAAAAGTATGTGATGAATTAACACAGACTTGCTTTTCAAGGAGTGGGAACAGATGAACACAAACTAGCTAAACTAGTCTTGATTGAAATCTAAAAGAAATTCTGTGTCCTGAGGAGAGAGAAATGGAATTTCTGCCTAAGACACTGCAACCAGAACAAAACTGAAGGAAAGTAAAAAATATGTCTTTTGAGCATATCATATGTAAGGCACTGGACAGGAGGTTTTATATATGTTAGCCCAATTAAGTACTCACATCAAGTGAAATGGACAGTGCCATTCTCCTTGTACAAATAGACAGCGGGTAGATGACCAAACTGGAACCCAAATGAGGTGTAGCATCAAAACTCTGGCCACTTGCTGCCTTTCAAGATAAGGTTCTAACTAGGGGAAGAGACACTCAATTCTTTTCTGGCCTTTTTTTGTTTAATCTTATGTGACCTCTCGGTATCCACATACTTAGCCAGTACTGATTCAATATATCAAACACACAATGTGAATAGTTTGGCTATTATGAAAATAGTCTTATTCATTATTCCCTTATTATATGTTATCTAGCTTAGAAGAGACATTCATAATAAACAACTTGATCCTCATACTCTCTGTTTCCTTTCTGTACACAAGGATTCCTTTGAAATAGAAAAGGGTGGGGAGTGAGAGTTGTTGAAGGAAGGGATAAAACCAAGCCTACATGGCATTCTAGAAAGTCTTAATTTTCAAGTGTTTAGTGGAGAAGCTTAGACCTATTCACTATATTTTAATTTGAAGTCTTCAAATCCTTCTTATGGAAGCTCGAAACATTATTATGACTAAAACCTCTGAATTGTTTTGTAGCTCTAACATGATTTTTATGAGTCAGCCTCAATAGGCTAATTTACTTTTATTCAGGAGTTGGAAATGTTCAGTATTAAATATACCTCATGCAAATTTGATCATCGTATTGCTATTTTAGTCCTCTGAGTTGTGAGTACTATAGTTATTTGGGAATAAGGCAGATATCCTACTTTTCAATGTACAATTTTATAAACTGCTTCATATGGCGTGTACTAAAATTTTAGTATATATTCCTTTATTTTAAAGATTTATTTATGCTTACAGAACTGGGGTACAGGTCAGAGGTGTGGAGGGTGAGAGGATTCACCAGAGACAGAGTGGGGAGCAGAACAGGCAGATCTACAGAAATACACTGCTGAGGGGAGCAGCGGGCAGGTCAGGAGAGGTCTGCTGCACCATGTGGGTCAGCTCCCTGGCCGGGGATCGAACTCATGCTGCAGTGGCTTTGGAGAGCTTCATAATGCAGTGCTTTAACCCATTGTGCCACCAGGGAGGGCCCTAATATATATTCTAAAGGGAAAATGTAGCAAACTATATTGTGATGCTTTTGGCACAAGCTTTTCACTCATGTACTGAGTGTCAACTATTAAAAACTTCATTTTGCATCTATATAGTTTTCTAAAATCATTTTTCCCCAAATAATGCTTTAATATTATGCTTTGTGAAATGTTCTTTTGTTTAATTAGTCTCAGCTTAGATTCTATCACAAAGATATGATAACATTAGCAACAATCTCTTTTAAAAGTACCTGAGGGCCCTCCCTGGTGGCGCAGCAGGTTAAAGCACTGCATATGCACTAAGAAGCTAAAGGCACTTCAGCATCAGTTCAATCCCCGCCTGCCCCGGAGGTGACCCACATAGCGCAGCAGACCTCTCCTGACCCGCCCGCTGCTCCCCTCAGCAGTGTACTTCATCTATCTGCCTGTTCTGCTCCCCTCTCTGTGTGTGGTGAATCCTCTCACCGTCCCTGCACCTCTGGCCTGTACCCCAGTTCTGTATACATAAATAAATAAATCTTTAAAAAAATAAAATAAAAGTACCTGAAATAGTGGAACAATAAAGACCATATTCCTTATGAGGATCACTTCCTACTGGATGCTCAAACTATAGCTTAAGAATCAGAACTTGAAAATCTTGAACCTCTTAAGTCAGCTATCAAATCTGTAGGTCAGATTTAGTTATATGCTACAAAAGTTTAGCCTTTTGCTCTTTCTAAATGACTACTTTAGAGATTATCTTTTTAGTTACAGTATCATTGACTTTGGGGGAAAAAAGAGATTGTATCAGTCAGAATCAAGATGACAGCTAAAGCTAGAACTATCTTGCTTGGAATATCTGCCTTGACATTGATTTCACACCTGGCCAGTGCCCCCGATTCTCTTCCTTCCCTGGGGTAATGGCCTTTATTCAAAGACAACACAATCATCTCTTTGGTTTGACCCTTGATGGGACGTAGAGGAAAAATTAGTCTCATTCTCTTCATTCTTAATTTCCAAAGGGAAAGTTACCCTTTCACCACACTGCACAGCTGGCCACGTAAGGATTGTTTTGTAACATCAATGGGGGTGCATGAATTAGAATTTGAAATCAAAAAATATGGATTAGAATATTGGCATCTGCCACTTTTCAGTTATATTTTTCTGGGGCAAGACACTCCAGGTTACCAAGTTTCCTGTCTCTAAAGTGGGGGAAATTAATTTCAATCTTTTGAGGATAAAGTGATATCACACATGTAAAATGTTAGATGAACTATAAAGCAATGTGCAAATGTTGGAGTTTTATTGTTCAAGCCATTTTACCTGTTGTTTTCATTTTTGGAAACCAACAAGGAATTAAAATGGGCCAGAATCCCAGACATTTGGCTTCCCTTCTCCACTATGTGAACACAACTAGTAGAGACTAATTAAGACAACATGGACATACGTGCTTGCATCACTTGCATGTTCCTGAATGAAAACGAGGTTAAATGAATTCCCATCACTCTATCAGATGGCATTATATGCCCAAACACATTTGTGTATAGACACACTATACACACACACACACACACACACACACACACGCTTGTGCAAATCTCTAATTCTACCTGAAAATACTTTGGCTCAACAGAAAGCACAGATCGGTGATGTTCAATCTTGGCTGAACATTTGAATCACCTGGGGACCTTTGAAAATGATATACACAGCCTCACTCCAGATCAACCAAATTAAAATATCTGGAGGTGTGGTCAAGCCATCTTTATTTTAAGATTTTTATTTTATGCATACAAGATCTGGGGTGTAAGCCAAAGGTGCAGGGGGTGAGAGAGTAGGGAGCAGAACAGCTGTATTGACTGAGCTATACTGCTGAGGGAGCAGCAGGTGAGTCAGGAGAGGTCTGCTGCACCACGTGGATCACCTCCCTGGCTGGGGATCAAGCTCATGCTGGTGCTGAGTTAGTAGCGCTGAGATTTTAACCCTTGTGCAACAAGGGAGGCCTGACATTTTTATTTTTTACCAGGATAAGAACTAAAGACTATCAGAGTCGGAAGGAGTCTTCTAAATGTATTTGCTGAATGATGTCATTTTCCTGTGAAAGAAATGTAGGTCCAGAAAACAAACTACAAACCCAAAGTCAGAAAGTAGAGCTATTTTCACTTCATGCTTATCCTTTACTTCCCAAAACTCACTGCCTCTGGAAAAAAAAAAAAGAGACTATACTCGATTTCCCTTTTGAAATTATACATGCATTTGCTTGGCTAGAGCCATGGGCTTGGAACCCACTCACAGCACGTACGGCAGTGCCTCTGATGACTGCATGCTAGGATCACATGGGTTATAAGGACTCCTGCTCAAGTACACCCCGCACAAGTTAAATCAAAACCACTGGGGTTGGGACCCAGAATCCCTAGGGTTTTAATGTTAGCTTCTAGGTAATTTCTGTGTGCCGCCAAGACTGAGAATTCTTCATATTGGTGCACTACAGATTTTCTTCTCCCTGCTTTTATGCATAGTATCAATTGCTTAAATGGTTACATACAAAACAAATTCCTTAGGCATTCAATTTTGAAGTCATTTATATATTCACTGTCATTTTAGAGCAAACAGCAGCTCTTTTGTTTTTATAGAGTAAATGTCATATCCTTTTGTTGAGTGGTTGAATTCCAATACCTTTGCAATTTAGTTTACCTTTCTTTTACAGCAATGTAAAATAAAAGCTTTGTTTAAAATTCTAAAAGGACCATCGCTTCAAGCAAAGGAAATCCAAATGTGGTTTGCTGAGCATAAACTAATTTAGCTCCAACTTCTGTATTCTCATCTGAAGTTCATCTCTCTGATCATGGCTCCCTCCAACCTATGTCACCAGCTGCCGAGCAGGAATAAAAAGCCATTTATCTCTTAAAGATCTGGCTGGGATTGTTAGTTTGCCAGAAACTGATGACCTGTTTCTATAAAATCACTAAGCCCTGGCTAGACCATAGCATATTGATTGCCGTTTCTCCCAGCCCTCTTGATCCCAGAAGGTATGGCCTGAAGGTCCAAGTCCCTGGGGCCTTCCTCTGCCTGCAGCCTGCTCTTCACAGGGGCCCGATGTGGCTGGATTAACTAACCCCTAACCCTTGCCTCCCTCCTTCCACCCTGTATCAAAGAAGGAACCATCTAAATAATGGTGCATCTGTGCATTCAGCAAAATACAAACTACAAGATTCAGCATTAAACCATATTTAGGGATGTTTCCAGTCAGAAACAGACAATCATTAGGGCACTGTACTTAAACCATGTAATGTGGCTCTGCCCCTTTAAATTTATATTTCCCAGTGATGCCTACAGTCCTCCTGGACAGACTGCCTGCCACCATCTCCATCTCCTAAATGTAACATTCTCATCTGCACATGTGCTGTTGCCGCCCTCTTCCCAATGTACCCTCAACTGAGGGTCATCTGAAGGCTCACACTCTATCCCAAACCATTCCTTTTTTTTTTTTTTTTAAGATTTATTTATCTATGCATACAGAGCTGGGGTACAGGTCATAGGTACAGGGCTGGTGAGAGGCTTTACCAGGGACAGAGTGGGGAGCAGAACAGGCCGATTGATGCAGTACACTGCTGAGGGGAGCAGCAGGCGGGTCAGGAGAGGTCTGCCACGCCATGTGGGTCAGCTCCGGGGTGGGGATCAAACTCATGCTGAAGTGGCTTTAGCTTCTTAGTGCTGTGCTTTAACCCGCTGTGCCACCAGGGAGGGCCCCATTCCTTTTATCAGTGCCTTGGGATTACATCCTAGGTCCAGAACTTTGATGGTAGGTGATCATGGAAATTACTTAATTTAACTCTACCTCAGTTTCTTCATCTATAAAATGCACAGGATGATAGTACTTGCCTCAGAGAGCTGTCGCAAATATCCTTAGAGTTGAATATATTAAACGTTTGGAGCATGGGTTGGCCCATAGCATCTTTCAAAAACAAGTGCTGGCAATCAATTATTGGCCAGGATCAGTTCGCCAAATTTATTTTCCCTGAGCCATACTTATCCTACCAGTCTAGCTCTGACTGTCACAAGTGACTGTCCAGAGCTATTAGTATAGGCTAATATGGCAGCTATTGTCCCAGAAAGCAGGAAAGGAATTTGCAGGAGCAGTGAGTCCTCACAGAAAGCATAGGCAACTGGATTTGGAAATTCAGGGATTTACTGATGAACTTCAAAAGTATAAATAAAAGGAAACTGTGACTCGCATTTTTCCAAGGACGTTTGCCTAACAAACGTCCCTTCTGAGGCAGATTCCAGGTTCCCCTAGCAGGTGCCTCATTCCCAAGCCCACACTTTCCTCTGATGGCTGAAAGTTTTCTGCAATGAAAAATCATCTCATTATTTCCACTGTTTAAGTGACTTGCAGCACGAGTTTCAGAGAAAGTCTTTTTAAAATTATCATTCTTCACATCTTCTATAAACTCTCTAAGTTCGATGACCATTTTAGCTGCAGCCATTTTAAGATTTTACTGCTCAGTCATAAAAAATGTCATGGTATTCGTGATATTGAACATTAAAATGACTCTGGCTAATGTGTGGTAATTACGTTTCATTAAAATTCCTAGTATGCTGACCACTAAGAAGATTTCAAAGCCGCTACCTAATTACTTTCTCTGATAGGGTTTATGACTTGTTCAAAGTGTTCACAGTATAGGAAATAATTGGTATTTTTGGCAGTGGCTTTGCACAAGAATGTGCATAGCTACATCTACATATGTATACATGTGTGTGTATACATGTCATGTGTGGGTATGTGTGCACACATGTACATACACACATATACATATACATGTATGTGTTGATTATGGGATATATCATCCGTGCTGAGAATAGTGCTATGCCTCTGGTGTGGTTAAGTTTAACACTTCAGGAAAGAAACACCCTTTCCCTTCATCTCTATTCCATAGAAAATCAACAAGGAATTTGGTTAATGGGGAAAAACAGGTTGAATTCCAAATAGGCTATATCACTAAAAATTCTGGTGATGCTTTTGTGTTCTACAGGAATCTACTTGTACCTGCAGCTGTATCAGGCAAAAGAAAGAAAGAAAGAAAACCCACAGGCAGAATATTTAATGCATTGTGCTTATAAAACTAAGAAAATCACCCACTGTCATAGTGAAGGAATTTGCCGTGTATTTGTGCTAAAATTGATATAAATTAGATCTACAAAAAGGCATAAGGCCATTATTTTCAGAAACAAAGTCAACCTGCTCTGTTTGACAGAAAAAAAATAGAGTACTTCTTAGTTTCTACTTGACCATCAAACTGTGAATCCACTGACCTCTTCTTTAGCTATGATTAGCATTAAGTCAGCCTTAGTTGTTGGAGGTTTCAGGGAGAGATTACACAAGTGGATGGGTAAGTATTAAACTATTTGGTGTTATTAAGTACAGATGTAGACAGATATTCCAGCACCAACCCCCAACCTCTTGAGGCTATAGAAGGTCATCACATATTTGGTGACACTTTCACCAGCAAGAATGTGCTATGACATATAATTCTGTCCTAGTTTGGAGACTTTTTGTGAGAATTTCATGGTATCTCCTCTAGCTGATAGCGCAAACCCTGCCAGCTAAGTATATGAAGACTAAATTCTATCACTTGTCAACTAACCATAGAGAAAGTGACAATCTACTCTTCGGTAGAGCAGCATTATCTTACTGACAGTGCTAATCTGTTCAACTGGAGTCATTTTCTGTCCTGGTTTCAACAGTACATTTCTGGACACACTTTCCTTTTCACATTCACACCCATAAATATTTCCTCCACAAGGATCATCAATCCAGGAGACTTTGACCTAAATATATGCATTTTTGCCTCCTCATGGGAAAGAGTATGTAGAGGTGAAACTGCAATCCTAGACCAAGTCTACGTATCTTTGATTTGGGAATTATAAAATGGAAGCTCAAAGGCAGCTCTCACAAACCAGCACTTCTTGAAGGCATATGACTGTTGAGAAAAAGCAAACCTTAGCCCTGCATCTTGGTCCTATTGTGTACCACTTTGTCCACAAATGCCATTTTCTGTTGGGACCATTGGTCAAACTTGACCTTGCATTAGGAAGATCTGAAACCATGATGCGCAAAGTACTGCATACAAAACCATTTCAGGTCATATGAAATCATTTTATATGATGTATGAAAGAACAACTTTTATTTAACAATTTCTAAAGTTTTCGTATGTATTTGAAAGTAGATACACTACCACAGCAAACACATCATTTTACAAATAGTGTTGCTTTGCCAGTTTAGTATTGTGTATTTGCACAATACTTATATGTGGAAGGGGAGACAAAAGCCAGAAGCCTAACATGCTGCATCACTACATTGTAACAACCACATTCAGCTTAAAACTGTATTGTTCTTGCTTTCCAAATGACATGTTTTGGGAAGGAGAAAAAGGAGAATAAGAAGTAAAAGAAAGGTTATTACATTTTTAAGTAAGATCCAGAGGCATCTGTGAAATAATCCCCAGGTGAAGCTGCCGCCTTTCAACCGGGCTGATAACCCAGAAGCCCAAGACCTCGTGCTATGTCATCTCGATTCAGAATTGAATCTTCAGGATCTGCCATAGACTTGGCAGAATAAACAAGCTAGAAAACCTAATGGCTACTCCCCAAGATCTTTTGGGATCAGTGTCCCTACAGCAGAGCTGTGTGGGATGTACTGCGTTTGGAGGAGGGTAAGAAAAGGCACCAAAGGAAATCTGTCCCACCTGCTTATGGCTGGGGGTATGAAAGTTGGCACGCCCCCTGATGGAGCCAGATTAAACTATCTCTGTCTTCCTCATGTACCACTCTTTCCTGGCTCGCGTTAGAAATTCAGGGGCAGAGAACAAAGCAGCCACATTTGTTTTTCCAGAGAAAGTGGGGTCTGGTGAAAACAGTTCTGACAGCTGTGCTCTACGGCTTGGTGTGTTAAGGGCTTTTCCATATTTCATTCAAGACTCTTGTTTAGTCTGCACGCTGAGAATTTATGTATCAATTTTTGACTCTAGTGTCATTGAGGTAGTTCTGATTTCCAATGATTTCCTTGTCATCTGTACTTGCCTCCAGTGAAAGAAATAACCAAGAGAAATGGGAGTCAACTTCTTGCAGGGACGTTTTAAAAGTTTGCCTTCTTCATGTGTTCACTTTAATGGAGTTGCCAGTGTTGCTAAAAGCTGAGGCAGCAGTCCTTAACAAGAAACACCTGGATCAGGACTGGTAAATCGTTTTCACGTTGCCTTTTGCAGAAGTGGCAGTGCATTGAGGACACATCTGGCAAGCTTCGGATTCACAAGTGTAAAGGCTCCAGCGACCTGCTCCCAGTCCGGCAGAGCACGAGGAACCTCTATTCTCGTGGCTTCCACGACAAGGATAAAGAGTGCAGTTGTGGGGAGTCTGCTTATCGTGCCAGCAGAGGCCAGAGGAAGAGTCAGAGGCAGTTCCTGAGAAACCAGGGGACCCCGAGTAAGCCAGCTACTGGGGCCACCTCAGTGGCAGTCTGAAGCCCTGGGAATGGGTGTCAGACAAGAATTATCTCTTTTTAGATATTGCCAATGCATAGTTACAGGACTAAAAGCCAGTGATTGTTCTATTTAAAATATGAACACTAAAACAATTTGAAAGTTTGATTTTTGAACATTTTAATTGAAGCATGGAATGAAATACATTCAGTAAAAACACCATAAATAAAACAGAGACCTGAAAAGACATAAAGGGAATGGGTTCGGGCAATTTTATTATTATACTTATTGCTGAGATCCTGGTTTGCCCATCTTATTTTACAGTTGCTGAGAGAGACAGAATGAAGGAGAAAAGACAGAATGGGAGTGTGGGTGGGGGATCATGGGAGGGAGGGTTAGAAAGGAAACATTTAAAAACGATTATCTGTTTCAGGGCAATTCTATTTTCTAATTCCTCTTGTGGATAGGTAGGTCAAACTAGTTGAATTCCACATAAATAGCACGAGCCAGCATTTTCTTTATTAAAGCTTATCAAACATCTGTAATACTTAAGATTGGTTCTATAGGTATGAAATCTCAATGCGATGCCTTCCATAAAAGAATGAGTCTAATGCCATCTAGTGGCCGAGTAAGAAAAGTGACTCATTTCTGTGTCTTTCTTTAAAGACTGAAGTAAGCAAGCGACATTAAATTTAATTCTGTGTTCAAATAGTGTTTGCTAAAACAAGGGAATCCCTTAAAACTATCTTTCTTACCTGGCACACCACAGTGAGCTTTAGGGGATCACAAGTCATCTAATATTTTATCCAAATTTTTAAGAATAGTCTCTGTATACATTCACATTATTGAGTTTATCTAAAACTTTCAGCAAATTTTTAAGGGAAACCATAATCCAAAAGACTGAAGACCTTTTATTTGAGAAACTTTCTTTCCTTTCTGAGAGGAAATATCAGGTCAATAATTCACACAAGGACAGTGAATTGACAATAAAAGGGACAAGGAGCCCCCTGACATTTTCCTCACAGAAACTTCTGGGAAGTTAGAGGCTGCTCCACGTATTGACCACTATGTGTATTGATTTTTTTTCTTAAAGATTTCTTTTTATTTATCTATGCATGCATGCAAGAACTGGGGAGGTGAGAGGATTCTCCAGAGACAGAGCGGGAAGCAGAGCAGATGGATCTACCGAAATACACTGCCAAGGGGAGCAGCAGATGAGCCAGGAGAGGTCTGCTGCACCATGTGGGTCAGCTCCCTGGCTGGGGATTGAACTCCTGCTGCAGAGACTATCTCATATAGTGTTGAGACTTTAGCCCCTGGCTCACCAAGGAGGGCCCATAGTACATGATTTTTCAGTGTGGAGCATGTGCTAAGGAAATGTGGGTTATTTCTTCAGAACATATGGAGTCATAGAGAACAGGAGTTTTCTCCTTTTCCATGATGACTGCACTCTTGCCAAATGTCAGAGAGGCATCTCCTCATGTGGAAACTGCTTTCAGAGCAGAATTATTCTCATTCAGCTGCCCATGTGCTCTCCTTCTTCCTATCTTAGCAAGCAGGCTGAAGGAGAAGAACTAAAAATATGCACAGACCGTGGGGGCATCTGTAAGCAGGAGCTAATGTTTGCATGTTATAGCTCTTTAGCAACTTGGGGCCTTAATCATGATCTAAAGTGACCGGAAAGCATGCCAGCCTCCCAGGAGTATTCTCCACTACCAACTATTAAAAGTCAGCTGGACAGTGAAAGCACTTGCAAATTTTACTTTTTCTAAGAGCAATCCTCTATTTTTTGTGCAATAGAAAGTGTCCAGAGCATTTACCTTTTTGAAAAAATCAAGCTAGTATCACAGGAAGAGCTTATAGCCTGTAGAATTTGTTTTAGTCCACCACAGTTAAAAAAAACTTGGCTATTGTGTAAACTTGTAAAATCTACAAAACAGCCAATTCTTCAGTGTTCTCATCTCTAAAATAGGAATGGTACTAAGTCGATGAGTCGATTTTGACAATCTGAAAAAAAAATGTAATATAAGGTTTTATTAGAATATCCATCTTTCAAGATTGTGTATAAGAGATAAGTACGAGGTAAAATAATACCTGGCAAAAATAAACACTTATCACTGGACATAGAGTTTTGTGCGAATGAACTACCTCGTCCATATTGGAAACTCAGTAGAAAAATTCATGATTATCTATAAGTTAAAAGGATCTTCAAGGTCACCCAGACCTCCATTGAGAGATCAAATTAGAAGCTTGTTTTGTTCCATTGGTCGCTGTTCCATCACAAAGCCCCGGAAGCAAGTTCCAGGGAGCTATCACCAGTCCCATGTCCCTCAGCAATGCACTACATTCTCCGTGGCCTTTCCAAAAGTTCTCAAGTCAGTGGTCCTTTTCTCCTAAATGGTGTCTGTACCTTTGTATTAATTAATTGCCTCCCCCCTTAACTCCAGAGTACAAGCCCAGATTTGTCCATACTCGGCAGACACGTTCCTTGTCAGTCGAATTTGAAGGTGAAATATATGACATAAACCTCGAAGAGGAAGAATTACAAGTGTTGCAGCCCAGAAACATTGCCAAGCGTCATGATGAAGGTCACAAAGCACCAGGTCGCCAGGCTACTGGCGGTGGCAATGGGGACTCAGCCCTTGAAGACAGCAGCAACACCGTGGCCCTGCCTGCCACCGTGAGAGTGACACACAAGTAGGAAGCCTTTTCATGTTCATGATGGTTGAGTGCCAAGCCACCCTTCCCCCCCCCCAAATATCATCATTCTGCCCCTTAAAAAAATGCCTATTATCCCTCAGCAGTTTATTGACCTAGTGCTGGCCTATGCAACCACTTGGGGTGGGGGGGGCAGCATTTAGGGAAGCAGCGAGTCAAATATCATAGAATTGGACATGTGTTTTGGGTTCAGTTTCATATTAAGACTGATCAGCCTGGGATTTAGCCAGAGTGATTGTGCCACATCTTGAGTTAGCCTTCATGGAGTCCTGCCCGTAAGCATTTACCTTAGTGGGAGTCTAGAAAACAGATGGAACTCATAACCAGCACTGGTAGAAGCTCCTTAGCTCGGAGCAGGTACAGTCACAGGCCGAAATTAAACACAGCCGGAAAGGGAACTGTAGCTTGAGAAGTTTCTAGAGAGATGGGATAGGCTGCCAGGCAACATAAGATTCAGAAATACTAACCTGTGGAGATCCCAAAATCACAGAAGGCCTCAGAGACCAGGAAACAGGGAAGAAATGATCCTCCACTTTTTTTTTTATAAAGACTTATTTATTTATGCATACAAAACTGGGGTGCAGGCCAGAGGTACAGGGGCGGTGAGAGGATTCATCAGAGACAGAGTGGGGAACAGAACAGGCCGACTGACAAGATACACTGCTGAGGGGGGGCAGCAAGCAGGTCAAGAGAGGTCTGCCGCGCCATGTGGATCACCTCTGGGGCAGGTGGGGATCAAACTCATGAGGAAGTGGCTTTAGCTTCTTAGTGCAGTGCTTTAACCCTCTGTGCCACCAGAGAGGGCCTGATCCCCCACTTTTGAACAGATATGATGCTTTACTTACTTCTATAACCTCCTTAATCTCTTGATATATCTTGAAATGCTTTCTGAATTTATTGGCAAGAACTTTGTTTTCTCATTTCATTAATTTGAGGAGTTGGGGCATCACAAGTCTAACAAAATTTTATCTGTTAGAGTAGTGTTTGTGGAAAACTCATTTTTTCACTAAAAATGGTGTCAGAGTAGTACCTGTGAAAAACTCATTTTTTCCGACAATATTTAGGTTTTCAAAACTGGATTTCTCTGGTGGTATCTTTCCAAGGAGGTGTGAGAATACTGAATACAGACTTGAAGGCTGATCCTAGGGGTGTTTTCTGACACCACCCTTTGCCGGTAGTCAGAAGACATTTCCCCTAAGTCTATGACTCAACTTCAAATTAGCATTTGTATCCAGATTTAGGCTTTAGAGAATGATTTTGTTTCTTAGCTATTTCTATTTTTTTTTTTAAATATTAGGATACAGAACTATTACAAATGGCTTTATTGTCTGTTTATTTTTACAGGTGCTTCATTCTTCCAAATGATACAATCCACTGTGAGAGAGAACTCTATCAATCAGCCAGAGCCTGGAAGGACCATAAGGCGTACATCGATAAAGAGGTTAGCCATGGCTATGCAGTTCCCAGGTAGATTCCAAATGCAAAGACAGCTCCCCAGTCCTGGTCTGACCATTGGCCGTCATCTTTTTTATAACTATGTGAAAAGCAGAATAACAGATATCTACCTTTCTCCAGTGACACAACAATGTTCCTGACTAGAGCAAAATAGAATGAGAAGAGACTATCCATGACCTTTTAAAGTCTCTGTGAGATAAATATTCAGTTATTAAGGAGACACCTATTAATGGTTCTCTGTAACATAACACATCAGTTGGCACATAAAATGTAGACATATTCCGTGACCAGTTTGTTTCTAAATCAGTGTTTTCTCAAGTGAGTAGCTAAAATTGTGGAACTCAGGGGGAAAAAAGTGAAAAGAAAATCCTGATCTTCAAATGGAATTGTTCAAATATGTGTTCTCCAGATTGAAGCTCTGCAAGATAAAATTAAGAATTTAAGAGAAGTGAGAGGACACCTGAAGAGAAGAAAGCCTGAGGAATGTAGCTGCAGTAAGCAGAGGTGTGCATCTCCTACCATCTCCTTTGCAAACTCATTTTTACTGTGATAAGCACTTGACTTGCTGCTTTAACCAGTACACACTGGTTAAAGGACTGCATGCATTATCACAAATTGTAAAAACCTAAACTATTTAACTAAACTACACACATCATGAGCCTAAGTAGAAAGTGAAAAAATTAAAACAAACAAACAAAAAAAACATTAAGCTAAGACTATACCTCAAGCCACAGTGATCCTGTAGGCTGTTTTATCTTCTGATTCTTCTATTTTGCTTGCTTTAAAAAAAAAAAAAAGATTTATTTATGTAAACAGAACTGGGGTACAGTCCAGAGGTAAGGGCAGTGAGAGGATTCACCAGAGACAAAGTGGGAAGGAGAACAGGCAGATGGATTGAAGTACACTGCTGAGGGGAGCAGCAGGAGGGTCAGGAGAAGTCTGCCATGCCATGTAGGGTCACCTCCCTGGCCAGGGATCAAACTCATGCTGCATTGGCTGTGATAGTTTCATAGTGCCGTGCTTTAACCCTTTGTACCACCAGGGAGGGCCCTTGCTTTTCTTTTTATAAAATGAACTTTTTGATCAAATGCATGATTATGAAGGTTCATTTTATTTATCTATTTAATTTTAATGGAGGTGATATTTGGTCACTCCCAGCAAGCATTGCCACCAGAGTTCACACACCTTCAGTCACCTATAGTCCACCACCATAGTGCACTGGGCCTCCTTCCCTCTTTGTCCTCACCCTATCCTTTCTTCTCCCTCTGGATGCTTTAATTCATTTCATGAGTTGAAGACTCACTTTTTAAATCTTCTTGACTGCAGCTATTACAACAAAGAGAAAGGTGTAAAGAAGCAAGAGAAATTAAAGAGCCATCTTCACCCATTCAAGTAAGTAACTGTTTTCCACATGTGCCTGGAGTCAGGATTCTCCACTTCAGAAAATCTGCAGGGACTATTGTGTTCCAAGTGGTGCTGTTTGGAAAAAATAGATTCAACCAGATAGGCATATAGAGTGAGACAAAGCCAACAGCCTGCCAAGGGACCATGGTGATGCTTCTGGAATCCTTTGAGGGGGAGCCACACAGAGTCCTATCTAATTCTGCATAATTAGATCTTACTCCATGTACTGCTTTCTATAGACTTTTTGAGTAGGCCCATGCATTCATAGAGCTCATACAACCATATTGGATGAAAACTGAAAGTTGAAAGAAATAGACATTTTTTTAAAATAAACATATTTTTTAAAATAATATGGGTCCTTTATAGAAAAAAAAAAACAAGAAAATTAAAAAAAAAAATACCTCTCCAAGGCTATTGCATAGGACATTTCAAAGAATTTTAGAAACCAAATCCATGCCAGCTAACCCAACCAATCTTGACTTTATGAACCACCAGGAAGTGATTTAGCTTTAGCCATTCATCCAAACTGTGTGCCTGGCTGCACTTGTGGATTCACATTGACATTTATTTCTATCAGTGTTTATTTGTAAATAAGGAAAGAAAACAGTGATCCTATTAAAGCTCAGTGAATTCAAGAGGGCTGTCACTCAATGACTTTGTTTCACTATTGCCGATTTTACATTGAGGCTCTCCCTGAAAAATAAAGGTCATTTATTGTGTACCTGTTATCGTGTGTCTAAATATGTGTGCGTCATTCATAACAAAAATCCTATTTTAATTGAGAAAGGATTTTCTGATCATTAAAAACACAAATATTGGTTTATCATGATAGACACCTGAAACAGATGCAATATTATAACACAATGTAACTTCAATGAAAAAGATTCATTTTTTAAGCATCCCTTCTATTGAAACAGAGAGGCCGCTCAAGAGGTAGACAGTAAACTGCAACTTTTCAAGGAGAATCGCAGGAGGAAGAAGGAGAGGAAGGAGAAGAAACGCCAACGGAAGGGAGAGGAGTGCAGCCTCCCTGGCCTCACCTGCTTCACACACGACAACAACCACTGGCAGACAGCCCCCTTCTGGAACTGTGAGTCGCTCCCGCCAACCCAGAGCATGTGACCTGCACTATATTTGCTTAGACTAGGAATTCAGCAGAATAATACAAGGATTGAGGAAGATTCAAAAAAGATGACTACTTTCTGTAGGAGCAGTAAGAAAATTTTGGCCAAAAAGCTACTTTTTCTCTTAGAAACATTTTTACCGTTATATTTGAAAATAGCATGTTCTCCAGGATGGTGTTATTTCACACAATACACGAACCCTGATAAAGTTCCCACTCACACTACTCTATCACTAAGTAACTAAGTAAGTGGATGCAGAAGTTGCCCCAAATATAGTTTGATTTTCTTTCTTGCTCTCACTTCTTTGGCTTTACATTTCTATATCTCCTGCTGTTACCTCTCCTATATGAAAGATGATTCAGAATAGATGTTCATTGTTGACACGTCGAGTAAATCAGAATTTTATTTTCTTTTTCAATGCTGCCGATCCACTAAGTAATCATTCTGTGAAATTACACGTTTAAATCCCCCCCCCACCTAGATTTGTCAATTGTTCTTTCAATATAATCAGAAGGTATTGTATTTGTATATTATCAAATGAATTCAAAATGCATTTAAATTGTTTGGGGGAAGATTTCTACACAGATTAGAATCTATGGCTTTTGTCTGTATAAATGTGAGCTAACTCTCAAATATAAATCAATTTTAGGTAGCATTTAAAGTGCTTTCAATGAAAAAAATCATAGAATGATGAGTATCCAATCACCTATTTTTAGAATGATTTCTTTCAAAAGTCATTTATGGGAAAAAGAGAGATGAATAGGTAGAACAAAAAGGATCTTAGAATTCACTCAAATTTTGCTGTAAACACAAAACTGCTTAAAAAAATACTTCTATGAAGCTAATTTTTTAAATAAGAATTTATTGCCATTGTTTGACATGAGGGAACAGATTCAAGACTGAATAGGACTGTAGCATGGAGTGGTCAAGGGTAACCCCTCTGGCCTAACCTCCATGCTGCCAATTTGTCAGCTGTGTCCCCTTGGAAATTACTTGAACTCTCATGTGCCTCAGCTTATCCATCTGTAAAAACGGGAATATAGCTGCCATTTGTCAGCTGTGTCACCTTGGAAATTACTTGAACTCTCATGTGCCTCAGCTTATCCATCTGTAAAATGGGAGTATAGCCATACTCTCTATCTCTAAGGTCATTTTAATGATTAAAATGGATTAATACAGCCAAGAACATAATGTACAATGAGTGCTGTAAGAGTACCTGTCCCTGTAGTTTTAAAAATATTTGCTAGGGTTCCCCCTGCTGTCCCAGTGGGTTAAAGCACAGCACTAAGAAGCTAAGGCCTCTTCAGCATGAGTTCAATCCCCGGCCAGGGAGCTGACCCACATGGCGATGCAGACATCTCCTGGCCCACCTGCTGCTCCCTCAGCAGTGTACTTCATCAGTCAGCCTGTTCTGCTCCTCACTCTGTCTCTGGTGAATCCTCTTACTGCCTCTGCACCTCTCTCTGGCCTGTGCCCCAGTTCTGTATGCACAAATAAATAAATCTTTAAAAAAAAAAATTTGCTAAACAACACATTTCTGAGCTGGGCTCCAGACTTTTCCCGACTTCACCACATGGGGAATCTGTCTTTCCTTGTGCCATTAGTGATATATAACCTTCTAACACAAAGAATAAATAGGGTACCAGGTCCATTTCTTTATCCAAAACCATATTTTCTCCTTCCTTAAAAAAACAAAACAAAACAAATATAATAGACATTTTAATGTTTTTGTTCCCATTCTCTAGTCACTCACCCTGTTCTGCAGACCACTTACTGACATGGTGACAGGCAGGCCAACTAATGTGCCAAAATTTCACTTTCGCCTTCAATCTATAATCAGATTCACAGATCATTACTTTTTTTTTTTTTGCATTTTCACAGCAAATTTGTATCAGAAGCAGAGAAAACACTGATTTTTTAACATCTAACTACACAGTACTTGCAAGAAAGAAAATGGAAATGGGAAATGTAAAGATAAGGAAATGCTGAACTGTGTAGAGTACTGACATTTTTCTCATTCTTTTTGTTTTATATGTTTTGTTTTTGCAACAGTGGGATCTTTCTGTGCTTGTACAAGTTCTAATAATAACACCTACTGGTGTTTGCGTACAGTTAATGAGACACATAATTTTCTATTCTGCGAATTTGCGACTGGTTTTTTGGAGTATTTTGATATGAATACAGATCCTTATCAGGTGAGCCAATATGTTTTCATTTTATGAAGGATGCTGAATATTGAATAACTAGAGCATGCACTTAAATATATTGCCTGGCCTCTTCAACTACAGCTCACAAATACGGTGCATACAGTGGAACGGGGCATTTTGAATCAGTTACATGTACAACTGATGGAGCTCAGAAGTTGTCAAGGGTATAAGCAGTGCAACCCAAGACCTAAGGGCCTTGAATCTGGTAAGGAAGAAAAAACTTTTTGTCTCTTATATTACCTGGGAAATTCTTCCTGTTGTCAAGCTTTCTGCCTTTGAAATATTTATATGCATAGAAAGCCTGAGATACTTACGGGGGAAACTTTCCAAACATAATTTGTTCTCTATGTTTAGTTCTGGGTGCATTCATGAAAATGTTAATGGCTTGGCAATTGTTTCATTCCAATATCTTCCCTAGGTCTGTCCTTTTAGCAATGCTCGATTTCTCATAGAAGCATCCATTGAAAGATGGATGAAAGCTTTGGGGATTAATTTGTTGTTGCTGTCAACAGCCATAAGATGTACTCTAGGTAAACCAGGATATCCTATTTTGTTTTAAAGACAATTTGAACAACAACACGCATGCCTTATTTGTGCTTATCAGAGTTTGGAGCTCTCTCAGTTGGATTCCTGCCCACGACACAGTGAATTAGATTTCTTTTGCCAGGATTTCCCATCTGAAGCTAGAGATATTTGAGCAATTCACTATATTGGGGTCTAAAGTTAGAAGAAAAGCCTACATGGAGCCAGATGTTCCCTCCCGGCTTTGCACATTATGCTTTGTCTCACGGGGTTGCAATTCTTTTTCAGACTCGGTCCTCTTTCCTAGTTAGCGAGAATACTTATTTTCTCATAATTCCTATAGAAATACAAATACCAGCTGTCCATAGAGGGAAGGAGAAAGAGCTGATGTTGGCAAGGGCATTGGTGTTGCATGCCAATTCCAAAAGGGTGAAGAGTTGGAGTCACAGGAGGTGGGAAGCAGTTTGCAAGAGCCTTTTATGGTGCAGCTGAGTTTTCCCAGTGTCCTTCACCTCCTGTGTCTCTGGGGCTCCCCATGCAAAGCCAGCATCACCAGTAATAGAAGTAGGCGGCTTCCTGGCTCACAGAACTAGGCACAGGGTGGGGGCTTCCTAATGCGATCAACATCACCACGGGCCAGTTCCACTGGGGTTGGGTCCTGCGGGCTTTCGGTTTATGTGACTTTCCTAAGAAACTCTCAGCTATCAGTCAACACTCCTCAGTTAACACTCAGTGGAATTAACTGCCAGCCAGACAAGTTCAGGCTTGACTTGAGAAATAGGTCTTTTGGTCACTGACCTTCCTCAGCTCAAATCTTTTCAAGCACCCTGCTTATCTGTTGATCTTTTCCTCAAATTTTACTCCCTCCCCCACAAAAAACAAAGACATCCCACTGAGACCTGCAAGCTACACCAACTATTAGAGGCACTAGAAATATTATACCCAGATATTTCTCCCCCAAAGAACATCACTCGCTTATTGGTGACGACGTAACTACTCCCCTTAGGGAAGCCTGAGAGTCTGTGATGATGAAAGGGCACACCAGGTGGAAACAGTTACCACTGCTGTGCTTCAAGCAGTCCTGCCCACCTTCTAGACCCTTCGTAAGAGAGATGCTCATCAGTTTACTTTTTCAAGTGTTTTGTCTAAGAACAACCCAAACTTCACTTTTCCTCAGACTTACATTGACTTCTGGAGTTACCTTTTTAACAGACCCTCTTGCTTTCTCATTGCCACCTATTTTCCATGCACTCTTAATGTGTTTTCTCTTAAGCATTTATCTTTAGTTTCAATCCTCATTTTGAACCTATCTAATAGAAAAACACTGCTGGACTTCAGCACTGTCTATATTTAACATAATATCTTTCTTTCTAGGACTTAGACGTTGTGCATGGAAAACTGCATAGTGAATGGTTTTGAGAGTTCTAAAGCTAACATAAATTACTCTTGTATTTCCCTATATCAGGAAATAAAGATGGAGGAAGCTATGACCTACACAGGTATTCACACTTTTTTTATTCTCCCTGGCAGCTTCTTTCCCCATAATTGCATGAGCCAGCCATTTCAACTAATTTCTGTTTCTTACCATGTGGCACAGAACATAGTTTGGGGTGCATGTATGTTTTAACAGCAGTCTCCACCACATTGTGTCATTGGTTGCAGGTCTGTCATTCTGTTTTTAAATCAGCTCCCTGTCACAAGGCATCTCTCAGAGCATTTACTCACTTCCATGCCTGTTGCTTGTTGGATAATAGCTTTTCAGCATGGAATGATGTGAAGTGGGGGGAAGCAAAGGGAATTTGGGGAACCTCTGGGGAGAGGATTGAAGAATGATTTTCTCTGGGGATTTGGTAGAGAAACTTTGTGAAAACTAGTTAAAGGTTTTTATAGAGTATAACATCAAAGGCACAAACTTCCAAACTGAAGTTGTAAGAAATAGGAGGAGCTTCTTTGTTAACAGTGCTTAATTACCCATGGTGAGAAGCAGGAATGATATAATTCAGAGCTCTGCAAGGTGATAGAAGACAAGGTGCTGGGGGTTCGGACTCTCAGAAAGATCTTGACACAGCATGGAGACAAGAGCACTCGTCACACAAAAGCTTTATAAATAGGTTCAGCCCACCCATTTTATTCCCCTCTAATCTCCATTAGTTCCTTTTTCCCTCCCTGTGCTCTGGAAGGACTTGATGCCCAGTGGCCTTGATAAATTTCTACTCTGAACATACACCTCAGGCAGGGCTGAAAGAACTGACCTTATCACCTCTACTGTGGGGGATCTGAGCCATGGGTGTGTCAGCCCCCAAATCAATGAATCCACCTGGGAGAAAACTTCCATCAAAGGAACATGCGCAAGGCACCACCCTGATAGTGTCTCAGAAGCAAAATAATGTCACCATCCCAGGCACTGTTCTCCCATGCTACCCCTCCTGCCTACTGAGCACTGGTCTCTAATTCCTCATCTCACAGGGCTGACCCCAGGTCTGACAAGAAGCTAAGTGGCAGAAGGAAGGTGGGGGGGGGGGAAGGGTTGGAGGGGGCAAATAAATAACAGAAGCTGAACCTCAGTGGATACTTGATAATCATTTATATCTCTTTTTTTCCTCTTGTCTCTTGTCTTCACCTTTCCTTGCACGGCTGCCATCTCGACGCCCATCACCCCTAGCTCACGTAAGACAGAGCAGAAGAACCCACTCCTAAGCTGGTCTCACCAGGGCTATGGGCTGACGAGGTAATATCCCTCCCTCCAGAACTGCTTCCTTGCTTCCCATGAGTACCATCAAGACATTTCCAAAGTGTGGCATTTTAAATGGATCTAACACTAAATATTGACTTTGTAGTTCTTTTATGATGCACTCCATTTTATAGTTAAGGGAGTTTCAATCAGGCCTGCTTTCATTACTGTCATGAAAGAGGTAAAAGGATATCAGCAGGTCACTGAAGACACAGCCTGGTCAGAGATGAGTCAGTTATTCTTCGTCAGGTCTTCCCTGGATAACTTTGAGATGAACAATGCTTAGCTGCATTCCAGTCATAGTTAAAGGACAAAAAAATAGGGTCCTCCCTGGTGGTGCAGCGGGTTAAAGCACAGCATTGCCAGGCTTGGCCCCAGCCGCTTCAATGCGAGTTCATCCCTGCCCTGGAGGTGACCCACATGGCATAGCAGACCTCTCCTGTCCTGCCCATTGCTCCCTCAGCAGTGTACAATGTCACTTTCTGAGAGATAGCAGACACCTTGGTTCTTCAACACTTGAATTTTTTTTTTAAGATTTATTTATTTATTCATATAGAACTGGGGTACAGGCCAGAGATGCGGAGGGTGAGAGGACTCACCAGAGACAGAGTAGGAAGCAGAACAGGCAGATCGACGAAGTACACTGCTGAGGGGAGCAGCGGGCGGGTCAGGAGAGGTCTGCCACACCATATGGTCACCTCCGGGACAAGCGGGAATCGAACTCATGCGAAGTGGCTTAAGCTTCCCAGTGCTGTGCTTTAACCCGCTGCGCCACCAGGGAGGGCCAACACTTGAATTTTTTTTAGAAATCAAATGAATATGTATTTTAACCATAACATCGATTACAGAGGACTTTAAGGAAAGATGTTACTCAAACCTGAAGAATTGAAAATTTAAATACTTTAGAAAATCTATCTTGTCCATTTTGACTGTTTTTAAACTGCCTCTGCTTTGTGGATTTTTCAAAAATTAGTCCTTGAACTTGTTCAAAAGTCTTGAATACACAAGTCATTCCCTTTTTCAGCTTTATTTTAGCTCTGCTTTTTCACCATGGTCTGCACATGAGGCAGGGGCATCTGAAATGCTGTGCTGACTCACTCTGGTCAGTTTCCATTCAGGAGAAGCTCAGAGCAAGGACCTAGCGGACTTCAACTTTCATGATCCAGGAACTCATTTTGAACTTAAGTTGAAAGCAATAATTTTGGTGTTGCAAAATAAAATAGGATCCATAGGTAGAGGAGGTGTTTATTTTTCCGATTTTCCCCACTGCACATGGAATCTGATGCTGCTGCCCGTTGATGTCCGCGAAGAGCTCCTGCCCCATGTGTGTGACCAGCGGCAGTGGGAGGCAGACTGGTGCAGTCAAGGCTGCCTGTGGCCCTTCTGGTCCTCTCCCAGCAGCCCCACAGAACACCTTAGACTCCGCTTTCGGCAACCACGCTGCCATCTACACTGCTTTTGCTTGGTTTGAATGTGTCCCCTGTGTCCCCTATAACAACAGCTCATCCCTTGCCTTGCTGGCGGATGTGAGGACATGGCTTTGTGTCAGAGTTGAGACATCTTGTTTCCTTGCTAGTGAGAAACTGAGAACTGAGTTTGGAAAGTACCAGTCCCAATAAGAGATGCAAAACTTTTACATGAAGGAAACCATATGTGAACAGGAAGCGACATTAAAATGGCAAAGAATGTATTATATTTTGTAAGAGAGATTCTTCAGCACCACCACCACCATCTCCAACCTCACCCACTGGCAACATACTCCATCCACAATCTTGCTCTATATTGTTCCACTTTCCCATTTGACAACCATTCACCACAGGAATATAGATCTTCCTATGATCCATCATCTTGTAAATGCATGGCATATAAACTCACTTAATCCTTAGAATAATTTTATGAGGTCAGTACTCTTATCCCCATTTTACAGATGAGAAAGGGGAGGTAAGAGAATATGTAACCTCCCCAAGATTGTCCAGCCAATAAATGGTGGAATAGGGAGTCAGGCCTTGAGGACCAGTTGGGGCATGTACTTTAATCTCTGCACTAAGGTGATCTCTTGAACAGTTTATCCTCTTTATAGTAAATTTCTCATCTGTAAAATGTAATAATAATATAAGAAAGTAAGAATTACATGAGACAATTCCTAAAAAGCATTTAGCATAGTAAACCATAAATTTGTTACTCTGATTGCTGTTTGATAGCCAGATTTGAGAGATTTGTTATATCAAAGAGCCCTAGAATTTTGAGCTACATTTACCTTTTTTTTTCTTTTTTCTTTTTTAATATTTATTTATTTATGCATATAGAATTGGGATACAGGCCAGAGGTACAGGGGCAATGAGAGGATTCACTAGAGAGTGGGGAGCAAAACAGGCAGATAGACGAAGTTCACTGCTGAGGGGAGCAGCAGTCAAGACAGGAGAGGTCTGCTGTGCCATGTGGATTACTTCTGGAGCCCGGTGCCTAGGATTGAACTCACATTGAAGCTGCTGCTGCCAGCTTGCAGTGCTGCGTCCTAACCCATTATGCCACCAGGGAGGGCCCATTACATTTACCTTCAAGGATTAAAAAAAATTAAGTTCTTATTGCTGGTCAAATATCAATAAAGGGAAGATTATGTTCATTTGCACCAATAAGCAGGTATGTTTTTTATGTATTTTAGTAGATCTTGACAATAAAAGTCATTTAGATATGTGTATACACACACACACATACACACATCTGTATGCCTTACTTATTTTTGAATTTCTATTCTACCTTCTTAGTTGGACGGCCATAGACTTTTATTTGTAAAAGAAATAGGTATTCCTGCAATCCATCAATAAAATTATAGGTTAGAAATATTTTACGCATGGCATAATTCTATAAAATTGTACTTATAATTGGCTTTTGGTCACTGCAAGACACCAAATCCAATGTTTGAAATCTCAAAACACAAATCAAATCTATTTCAATTTCAAACTTGTCATGTTTCAAGCTACATGAAAATCCCCCGTGATGAGCATTGATTTGGTCCCTTATTAAAACCCTGGGCTTTTAGGGGAAAAAAAGAAGAAGAAAAGAAACATTCCAAGGGGGCACAGAATATTCTGGAAGAATCTTGGAGAAAGTGATGAATACTTTAGTACAGAAATGCTATACTCAGGTTCTCTGAATTTTGAAAATCAAATTAGTGACCTCAGAACTGAATAGCTACATTAATTAAATATTGTGAGAGTTAGCAACAATTGACAAAACTCTTAAGGTCTTCAAAATTTCTGATTGACCTAGTACTTGTGCCTTGAAATTGTAGACACCTAGCCAGGTGAAATTCAGTTTGCTATTTGCACAAATACCAGAATCACATAAAGATGGGTGTTGTAATGGAGTGACTCCATGAAGCTGAGGAACCCCAGAAGAAGGAAAAGAAGGTCAGGGAAGGCTTTGGGAGGAGACGGGGAGAGGCAATGCTCAAATTTAATCATGGACTGAGAACTGACCAAGGTGATGAAGTGGGGAAACAGTCTAGGAATGAATACAAGCATTGAGGAAGGAGATTGCCTGCTGCTTTCAGGAAATTGTATGTTGTTCCTGGGAGATAGCACAGAGGTGCTGTGGGGAAAGATAAAAGAAGAAAGGAGTCAGGTAGTCTTCGGGAAAACAACACTTCTGTGACCCCTGTAACTCAAAAAGAGTCAAAATCCCATGCACACCTATCTCTAAGTTAGCCACCTGTGGTGTTTTTAAAAGTCATGTCTTTAAAAGTAATTATCATCCAGAAATAGTCTCAGCTTGAGATCTTTGCATACTTTTCAATTTACCTTCTTGGTTTCACAACCTTTCTATTTCCGAGTCAGATGAGAATTACTTGTACCTTGAAATCAGCTACATTTATTTCCACAATTCACTTTAAGAAATAAACTTATCCATACGTTTCCTCTCTGAACAAAGAACTTCAGAATGTCTTGAGAAAGAGGTTGCTTTTGAGAGATGAAGACTGAAAAAAGAACAGGGCAGACATGTGGAAATTAAGATTTCAGTGTGCATTGGTTTGGTTTGGTTTGTTTTAAAGATTGATTTATTTATGCATACAGAACTGGGGTACAGGCCAGTGGTGCAGGGGTGGTGAAAGGAATACCAGAGACAGAGACAGAGCGGGGAGCAGAACAGGCAGATAGACAAAGTACACTGCTGAGGGGAGCAGCAGGCAGGTCAGGAGAGGTCTGCTGCACCATGTGGGTTATCTACCAGGTGGGGATCAAACTCATGTTGAAGTGGTTTTGGCTTCTTGGTGCTGTGCTTTAACCCACTGTGCCACCAAGGAGGGCCCTAATTTTTTTTTTTTAATGGACCTATTATACAGTCCAGCAATTTTTTTTTAAGATTTATTTATTTATGCATACGGAACTGGGGTACAAGCCAGAGGTGCGAGAGCAAAGAGAGGGTTCACCAGAGAAAGAGTGGGGAGCAGAACAGGCAGATCAATGAAGTACACTGCTGAGGGGAGCAGTGGGCAGGTCAGGAGAGGTCTGCCACACCATGTGGGTCACCTCCGGGGCCAGGATTGAATTCACACTGAAGCGGCTGCAGCTCGCTTGCAGTGCTGCACTCAACTGTTGGGCCACCAGGGCACACTGTTTACTTTTGAATTAATAAATGATTCATTCACTAGTTTTTGCAGAGATTTGTGATTTTTGCCTAAATTATGCTGCTGCATAGCTACAAAATAGTGATTTTTCTCAACTCTATCATTCCTGCTGTATATCTTAAATGATTATTTACAATAGTGAAGAGATACCCTTTCTCTCCTATGTTTTGTATCATTATGAACTCATATAGCCTCATTTTATTCTGTGGATATACTTTTGCTACTATGATTGATTCTGATGATCAACTTGTTCCAGATTTTGCCAATGGTATCCCTTCAGGGAGCTTCTGTGTCCTTTTGGCAAGTCCCCACCATCTTTTGAGCTTCTGACAATATATTCCAGGTTCTCTTGCATTTTCCAGGTTCTTCT